CAGGGGACGCCCGGATGTTTTACCATGCTGTGGGAGTTTTCTCAAAGTAGATATTAATCTGGGTTATACGGCAGTGTAGATCCAGCCTCAGCCTCAAATGAAGGCAAGGGCAAACCTATTCTGAACAAATCTGGCCAAGAAAACCCAATTACGGGGTTGATTTAGGGTCACCATAAATTGGAAACAACTTGAAATGCAAGAACTATTCTCAACCAAAAAGGAGGAATGTTTGAGGTTCCAGTTTTATTTTGATTGTACAATATTAATAGCCATTGAATAATACAATAGAGAACTGTAGAGCAATAGCAAATATCTTCAAGCTTGCAAATTAAATATACAACGTCACCAGCCTATGGATATTTTGCACCTGTGTGCCCTCTTCATTATACGTTCTGAAGTCATGATGTATGCATCTTGGCCATGTAACTTTTGCAAAAGTAAATCACATTAAAATAGCTGTTTGGAAAACAAAAAGCTACAACTGTTTGAGAAGACCAGTATTTCTTTTTTTAAGCAACCAACCAGTCCATGGTCTTCATAGACTTTGAAACCATTCTCTCCACTCTCATGTACTTCTCACCCTGCCAGAAATCCAAATGATCACACATTAGCCTGGGCTCACCAAAATGAAAAATGCATCATAACACAGTATATTATTTGAGAACACAGAAATGCTGAACCACTCTAACAATTACCATGTCAGATTACACAGAGACGCCATTGAAATCCACAAGCATGTGGACAATTTCAACAAAAAGGAGGAAACCATGAAAATGAACCAAATCTGGCTACCAGTATTTAAAAAATCTTTAAAACCAGGATGGTAAATAAAGAACAACACTAAAAAAAATAGGGGAATTCCAGACAAAAATAAATCAGGACCAGCTAGCACCTCCCAACAAAGGATCCCCAGGCAGCAACCAGCCAGGCTTTTAAGCTGCAAGGCCCAGTTTACCTGTCCGAATGTATCTCCCACTACAAGCTAATAGGACCTTAAGATCATCAGGGGAGGCCCTGCTCTCAGTCTCTCCACCATCGCAATCACGCTTGGCGGGGACAAGAGACAGGGCCTTCTCCATGGTGGTCCCTTAGCTATGGAATTCCCTCCCAAACAAAATCAGATCTGTTCCATCTCTCCAGTCCTTCTGATAAAAAGTGAAATCGTGGCTGTGGGATCAGGCCTTTGTGGACTAGACTGACTTGCTGTCAAAGTTATGGTTTTAATGGACTATGATGGACTGCTTTTAGGATTATGACTGAATTTGGTGTTGTATTTAATGTTTTTATATCGTTTGTATATTGTTTTTATTATATTATGTATATTTATGCTTTTCTTATTGTGGGCACTATGCTGTGCTGGTTATTAGTCGCCCTGAGTACCTTTGTGGAGGTGAGATAGGATGGGATATAAATTTTAAATTATTTATAAATAAATAATCAAGGTGGCCAATTGCAACATTCACGTCTTCCTCAAACAGGCATGAGTTTTTTCTCCCACCCTGGACATTCCACAGATGTATAAACCTCACTTGTCTAGTTTACAACAGACCTCACAACCTCTGAGGATGCCTGCCATAGATGTGGGTGAAATGTCATGAGAGAATGCTTCTGGAACATAGCCATACAGCCCAGAAAACTCACAGCAACCTAGCATCATGCACACTTTCAAAGTTTCACTGGCTTCCTCATCGAGCAAAGATGCTAAAAAACATACAGAAAAAAGCAACATTAGAGTCATAGGCAAGCATTTTGTCTCTGATATTATTCCTATGGCAGTTGGTTTATTTTCTGCATTTCAGTTGGTCAGTAAAGGTATCGCGCTTCTGTGCATTTCAGATTTTGTTGTGTTTTGCCACATGGCCAACACAGCTACCCCTGAATATGTTCACTCACATTGGGCTTCACTTGCTGCCAGAAGAAAATACTGTAAGTCCAAATGGCAGGAACCGCCTCAAGAAATTCCCTTCTCCCCACCCACGTTCTGTGAATCCCCCCCCCCCCCCAAATCCCGATGATTGCTAGTTGCATACCATTTTCTACTTGAAAGAAATTCCACTCAATTATTTGCACTGAAGTTGAGACATTTGAGTACATATTTCAGCTATTACAGAGCTAAAGTTGCTGGAGTTCAAGGGACTTTAATGACAAATCATGACATGGAATGACATCTGAGGAGCTGCTATGTGCAAATAATAAGCTGGTCGTAGAAAAAGTATCAGGCCTATAAATATCAGATCCTCAGATGACTCAGTTGTAAGTGAAGTGCCTTCCCCTCCCGTACATGCGGGGTTACATTGTGTGCATGTGTATGTGTGCGTGTGCGTGCGTGCATGATAGATCCTCCATAGCAACCTGGGCCAGAAGTCTCCAATTTATTTTATGAGTGAATGAGCCAAGACATCAATTAAAGGAGCAGAATTGGTAGAAGCTTGCAAAGTGATGAATCATTGTGTTTAATTTCAACAACGGAGCAAAATTACAAGCAACCAAGAAGGGTGTCAGTAAAGTTCACTTTAATGTGTGCTGCAGCAACTGAACACAAGTCTAATTAAGTTATTATGATTCTGGCATATTTTGCATGCTTACTATGTTCACGTTTGCTACTTGCCCTTTGAAAATCCAAAACAACTAATTTCAGGTCCAGGAAGAAGCACCAAGCTATGCTGTGGTGAAGATGCACCTCTTATGAGACAACAGCCACCACCACACTGAGGAGCAACACTACTGCTGATGCTTTCCCAGAATTGTAGGAGTCCCTGCTTCCCTCCTTTTCTGCTTCACTAACAATATCCAAGTGCAATGTGATACCTTCCACCTGCAAATGGGTTAGATGACTGGTGGAACCACCACAACAAATGTGCTCTCTATATGGTACAGCTTTTTTCAAATGTACCAAGACAAAATGAAAAGGACACTTCACAATACACTTCACAGACATTTTATTTATATATTTATTTTGTACATTTGTATCCTGTCCTTCTCACCCCCGAGGGGGGACTCAGGGCAGCTTCACAACAGGCACTCATTCAGTGCCATCCACATTCATAAAAACACATTTAAAATAATTCATTAAAACGTTACATTAATAAGCCATTTGGTTAAATTCCAAGTCTGGATCAGTCCATTGTCATTCAGATCACTTGAGTCTTGTTCTCAATTGCTCCCTCTATCATTCAAATGCTTGGTCCCATAACCAGGTTTTGAGTTTCTTTCTAAATGATAGGAGGGAGGTAGTCAATCTGATGTCAATGGGGATAGAGTTCCACAGAAGAGGAGCCACCACTGAGAAGACCCTGTCTCTCATTCCCACCAGTCGCATTTGCGATGGTGGGATCAAGAGCAGGGCCTCTCCAGCTGAACTTAAGCTTTGTGATGGTTCGTAATGGGAGATATGTTCTGACGTAATCTGGACTAGAACTGTTCAGAGCTTTAAAGGTTAAGACCATCACTGAATTGTGCTCGGTAGTATATCAGCAGCCAGTGGAGCTGGCGTAGCAGAGGGGTTGTATGCTCTCCATATGCTGTTCCAGAGAGCTGCTGGCTGCTGACCATTGGAATAGTGGGAGCTTCCGGACAGTCTTCGAAGGCAACCCCACATAGAGTGCATTGCAGTAGTCTATTCGGGCTGTAACAAGAGCGTGGACCACCATGGCCAAGTCAGACTTCCCAAAGTATGGGCACAACTGGCCACCACTGAGTTCCAGGCTCAGCGATAAGTCTAAGATTACTCCCTAACCAGTGTCTCCAGGGGAAGTATAACCCCAGTCAGCACGGGCTGTAACCCTATGCGTTGTTTGATCTTGTGACTAACCAGGAAGACCTCCGTCTTGTCTGGATTCCATTTCAATTTGTTCCCTCTCATCCAGACCATCATTGCTGCCAAGCAACTGGTTCAGGACTTGAACAGCCGCCTTAGTGACAGTTGGGAAGGAGTTATAGAGCTAAACATCATCTGTGTACAGATGACATCTGACCCCAAAACTCCGCATGATCTCTCCCAGAAGCTTTATGTAAATGTTAAACAACATGGGGGACAGCACTGATCCCCGCAGGATCCCACAAGTCAATGGCTGTGAGAACTAGCAGGTGTCCCCCAACAACACCTTCTGGGAACAACTCTCAAGGAAGGACGAGAACCATTGCAGAACAGTTCTTCCAAGTCCCATATTAGCGAGGCATTCCAGAAGGATACCATGGTCAACATGCACAAACAATCCTTGCAGATAAAATTGTAAAGCCTCGGGGATGAAAGATACTATCCTAGCTGCATCTCTGATAAATTAGTGTCCATATACAATCATCCTTCCACATTCTCAGGATCCCCATGAAAGTGGAAAAACTGAAAATAGAATAAACACTTTCTTTAAAAAAAAAGTGGAAGAACGCTTTGCTGGGAATCTCTGGGTCTCCCAATAAAATGTTCAACTTAACACCAGAGTTTAACCACAGAACTGCACTGGAGGACCAAGGAATTTCCAGAACACTTTTATCAAATCCATGAATTAATCTGCAAAAATCAAATGCACAAATGTGCACAACCAACTAAATGGCATTTTTAAATATAGGAGCAGTCAAACATACAATTTTCCCCTTTGTCTTCTGAATGACATAGTTCTATGAGAATATGTTCTATATTTTTGAACTGTATCTCTTGTGGGAAGCTATTTTAATATTGGCTGGCTTTAGCACAGCAGTTTAATCACTAGCTGCAGCTGCAGTAGATCTTGCCAACTGAAAGGTTGACAGTTCGAAGCCCAGTCAGCGTGAGCTCCTGACCTTCAGCCCAGCTTCCCGCCCACCTAGCAGTTCAAAAACAGCAATATGAGTAGATGAATAGGAATCTCATTAAGTGGGGAGGTATTTTAAGCATGGTGTTTGGAGGAAAGTTTATGAACAAAAAATGCTCCCGGCAAGGAGATGGAGCAACAGCACCCCCCACTGGCCGGAACTAAGCACAGCCTCCAAAATATGCCGAATGATGAGAAAAAGTCTATACATACCTCTATCTGTTGTCTTGTCATTGTATAATCAGCAGTGAATGTTTGCTGTATATGTGTTCTGTGATCCGCCCTGAGTCCCCTTCGGGGAGAGAAAGGCAGAATATAATTACTGTAAATAAATAAATAAATATTTTTTACTTCATTTGATTTCAATGACACATCAGAACTCAAAAGAAGGACTATGAAATATCAACAGTTTGACATTCCTCATACCTACTAACAGCAGTGATATTTGACAATTTTCATGCCAGTGGGACAGTGGATCTGCTCCAGGTTTTAGACTGAACTTTAAAGTAGTCATTCAAGATATAGAAGTTTATCTCCAAAAGTGGGTCATAAACTTGATGAGCTCTTTTAAAGGCCATGATTATTCCTCTCATTAACATACAAGCTGCTGCCCACTACTAAGAGAAAAATAATTAGAAGCAGAAAAAAATGTTATAAAGGAGGGAGCAAATAAGACCAATTAATGTGATAATATTGCATTGTTTCAGCAAGGCCATTCCCATGAGCTGAAGTCAGTAGAAGTTGAACTTCTGAATACTATTGGAGTTTTATTATCTGAGTTTCAGCCTAAAGCAGTGGTGGACAAAGTTTGTTTTTCTCCAGCCCTTGCCCAGCCCCAGGGATCAAAGAAAATACAGAAGGTACAGAGGTACATGTCTCAAGCGCCCCTGAATTTCAAACATCCTAGTTTTGTTGTTGATCTCCCGGAGCAGTGCAATGTGGCTACAGCTCTTCAAGGACTCCCGGTGGACTAATATACCATATATACTCAAGTATAAACTGACCCGAATATAAGACGAGGCACCTAATTTTACCACAAGAAACTGTGAAAACAGATTGACTTGAGTATAAGCTGGAGTGGGGGGTAATGCAGCAGCTACTGGTAAATTTCAAAATAAAAATAGATACCAATAAAATCACATTAATTGAGGCATCAGTACGTTAAATGAATTTTGAATAATTGCATTAAAATGTAATTTAAGATATACTGCCCAACTCTGATTAAACCGTTATTCTAACCTTCTTCAGTGTAAATGTGCTTACGTATCCTTCCAATAATAATAGAGTAAAATCACAAATGTAATAATAATAATAATAATAATAATAATAATAGAGTAAAATAATAGAAATGTAATAATAACAGTAATAATAGAATAAAATAATGAATGTAATAATAAAGTAAAATAATAAATGTAATAATAACAACAATAAAAAGTAAAATAATAAATATACTAATAATAATAAATAGAGTAAAATAATAAATGTAATAAAAATAATAATAACAGAGTAAAATTATAAATAACCTTGATTTGAGTATAAGCTGAGGGGGACTTTTTCAGCCTAAAAAAAAGGGCTGAAAAACTAGGCTTATACTCGAGTATATACTGTATAGTAATCCCCTACCATTCTCATAGTTGCCAAGCCTTGGCCTAAAGGTTATTTGCTCAAAAATGAGTGGGCAAGAAATTATGTCGTGGACCCTTGTTGAAATATATTCAAAACACAGAGATGGATCCTTAGTAAAGTGAATCAGGATGGCTGACCTCTTACATTGTGTTGTGTATAAAATGTAGTGTGGGGATGGTTAGTTATGCTTGCGTGTCTACATAATATGTATACACAATCCTTCTGCCATATGATATGATATCATATCCTTGCATACCATGCCCCCCCCCCCCCCCCCCATATACAGACCTCTTCTGTTTCCAAATTATCTATTGGTTAGATCATTTTGGAATGGCAAAATATGTGAGTGTTGACATTTCTCTCTTTCCATCTCCCTCGCTTTCTCCACCCCACCCCTTTTTTCACCCCACCCCAGCACTTGCTTTGGAAGAAAGCCCTGGTGACTGTAATGCAGCTTTTGAAAAAAAACCTCAAAACATAATAATGTTAGCCTGGAGGTGTGTCTTTTATCACAGACTGTTGGTATCTTTGTAGAAATCTCCTTTAGTTTGCATATTCCTTTTAAGAATCGCCTACCCATCTGTCCTGGCTTTAAGATCAATGTTTTTCTTCTTCTGTAAGAATAACCTGCCATTAAAACTTGACCAGTTAAATCCCTATAGTACCTCTTTTTTCTATTCAGGTCTGTTGCCTGCTTCCTCTTCCTGATGTGAAGCCAATATTTCATGTTAGTAATTGTGAGATCATTCTATTTGCTCTCATTGAACAGGGCCAGGGGAGGTTTTTATATTATTATTATTTTGGCTAGTTCAGTTTGGTTTGGGGTGAAGGAGGAATGATAATGAACTCCACACAAGCAGCAATGACTTTCATAAAGCCAATCTGACTACATTGATAGGACTGGTTAGTTGGGGCAAAGAAATCCAAAGTTTCCATCCCTTCCTCTGAGTAGCGGGTGGCACTAGCATATCTCTGGATAACAGCACCCCTCTCCCTCGCTGTTGCGAAACTCACCACCCCACTTCCCAGCAAGCATAAAGCCAGATGAAAGTATGCATTTAGGTCTTTCATCCTCAACTATCTTGTTTTATATACAACAGAAGTCTACACCACCAATTATTTCAGTGTTCAAAGGGATCTCCAAGTGTGTTGTACATGTATCTCAAATTCTGAGTAATTCTGTGCATCTGGTGAAGGGGGCTAGAGCCCAGGAATGTTTGTGCTATAAGAAATTTGTTCATTTTTATGTCTTTCTTGCTCTTCCATCCACCTTTCCCAATCTGGTGTGGGGCTGAAGCAAACTCCCATCACCTCCCAGGCCACGTAGACTGGGTTGAAGGAAATTATTGGAGGGCACTCAGTTGGAGAAAGCTCCAACACAGAGAGAGAGAGAAAAAGAAAATTAACATGAAGCAGCCCAGAAAGAGCAGGAAAGTATCTTCATATATAGACAGAGATGCAGATATGAAATTCAGATCAACTTTTGACATCAAAAGGTTTTTAAATGTCTTCTCAGTGACAGCTCACACTAGACCTTGCTGTATTTCCATAAGCAGAAGGTTACTTTTTTGTTTCAGCTGGCTTTTGAAGAGAGACAATTCAAAGGACACAGGCCTTGTTGTATCTTCTATGTATTGTTTTCTTTTTAATGGCTAGATTTCTAGTTATGTTCATCTATAATGTAGTAAGCTGCCTTGAATGCTAGATGGGAAAGGTGAGAATTATTATTATTATTATTGCAAACAAAACCATAGAGATACCCATTTCTATTAGAAAGATATGTGTGGGAGCAACAAGGTGGTAGTGGTGACAGAAATCATTATAATTTATAATCCATCTGAAGGTACTTTCCAAGGTGGATTACTACTACTAGTACTACTATCATTAGTATGATACTATAAAAAAAGCAATGGGAATTTGGCCTGCAGGAGTATAGAGTCTAGATCCAGGGAAGTCATGCTACCCCTCTATTCAGCCTTGGTAAGACCACACCTGGAATCATACTGTGTCAAATTCTGGGCACCACAATTGAAGGGAGATGTTGACAAGCTGGAATGTGTCCAGAGGAGAGCGACCAAAATGATCAGGGGTCTGGCGGAAACACCCTATGAAGAGCAGCTTAAAGAGCTGGGCATGTTTAGCCTGCAGAAGAGACGGCTGAGAGGAGACATGTTGAGGGCCATGTATAAATATGTGAGGGGAAGTCATAGGTGAAAAGGAGAAATCTTGTTTTCTGCTTCCCTGGAGACTAGGACAGGGAACAATGGCTTCAAACTACAGGAAAGGAGATTACACCTAAACTTGAGGAAGAACTTTCTAACTGTGAGATGTGTTCAGCAGTGGAACTCTCTGCCTTGGAGTGTGGTGGAGGCTCCTGCCTTGAAGGCTTTTAAACAGAGGCTGGATGGCCATCTGTCAGGGTGCTTTGAATGCAATGTTCTTGCTTCTTGGCAGGGAGTTGGACTGGATGGCCCACGAGGTCTCTTCCAATGCTATGATTCTGTCATCTGTCTATGATTCTGTCATCACTATCACCCTGTTGCTCCCAAACATACTTTTGCAATAGAAATGGACCCAAGTATCTCTATGTTTTTTCCTCTGTGTACAAAATTAATCATTATAATAATATTAAGGCATTTGACACCACTTTAACTGCTATGGCTCAATGCTGTGGAATCACAGGAAATGTAGTTTGGTGAAGCACCAATGCTCTTTGGCAGAGAGGGCTAATGATCTGGTAAAACTACACCACCCAGGATTCTATAGCATTGAGCCCTGGTAGTTAAAGTGGTGCTGAACAACATTCATTCTACAGTGTAGATGCCCCTTAAGTGTGTCCAAGCTTGGATGTACATTCTGGGATGGACCGGAGGGGTGGTTTCAGGGCAAAGATGGGCAAGGAACCATCTCAATCCCAATCTTTACATTTATAGTGGCCTCTGCTTATTTTTTCCATTGACCTAAATAATAATAATAATAATAATAATAATAATAATAATAATAATAATAAAGATCCCAAATATAGACTCTGCAAGAAAGCAGATGAAACAATAGATCATATCCTCAGCTGCTGCAAGATTACGCAGAAGGACTACAAGCAGAGGCATAACACATAGCTCAGATGATTCAGACTGACAGAGTTTTGGAGCACAATACTTGTGATCCTTGATGTTGCAATCCCAAGCAACAGCAGGATTGAAGAGAAACAACTGTAAAAGCTGACACAATATGAGGATTTAAAGCTCGAACTGCAAAGACTCTGGTGCAAGCCAGTCAAGGTGGTCCCAGTGGTGATTGGCACACTGGGTGCAGTGCCTAAAGACCTTGGCCTGCACTTAAGCACAATCAGGGCTGACAAAACTATCATCTGTCTGCTGCAGAAGGCCACCCTACTCGCATTATTTGCCGATACATCACACAGTCCATCACAGGAGAGAATGAATCCACTTTAAATCCCACAAGTTCGTCTCCTTTGAGTGAGTCATTCCCAAACAGCCAATCCTTTTCACAAGAGGGTGCCACAGTTCAGAAGCCAACACAACTGTGAAGATGCGATTTCTTCCCTGCCACAATTGCAGGCTGTCCCAAACAGGATGAGGTTGACTGTTAAGTAGTACAACTATGCAATGAGACTTAAAAAAAAAAAAAAAGGTGGTGGCTTTAAGATGTAGATGTCAGTCTGATAGTCTGATTCGG